ATCACCACGCATGTGCCAGGACCCCATATGGGTGCCAGTTCTAATCCCAGTATCTCTGCTCCCATTCAGCTTGCTGCTTGTGGTCTGGGAAAGCAGTCGAGGATGGCCCAAAGCCTTGGGAATCTGCACCCACATGGGAGCCTGGGCTACCTGGCTTCAGATTAGCTAAGCTCTGGTCATTGTGGCCACCTGGGGAGTTAGTCAACGGATGGAAGATTTTCCTCTCTGTCTCTCCTCTGTCTCTGTATATTTGACTTTCCAATAAAAATAAAATAAATCTTTAAAACAAAAATAAAAATAAAGATACCAGAAAACAGGAATAAATTTGCAGAAGACTTCTGTATGCTCCATAGGATTTCAGAGAACAAAACATCTTCAAGATACTAGAAAATTAAAATAGCAAAACCAGAAAATAATTTGATTAGGAATAAAACAAAACTAAAAGGATGGAAGTAAAGGAGAAAAAGGTACAAAAAAATAAACACTGCAGAGAAAGGTAAAGATTAGATATTGGAGGAGAGAATTGATATTAGAGAAAGTCAAATATTTCATTTGAAAACCAACATGCAGATTTCCAACAATGTAAAAATTTAAATCAATATATAAAGATAATCAAGAGCTAGATTATTTTAAATATGCCCAAAGAAAGCACAGACAGTACTTAGAACTGATGCAACAATAAGCAGCATTTAACACACCTTTCCTGAACACGTACTGATCTTGCACTGAAGATGGTGCACACTTTACCCTCCCTACTCAGGAATGCCAATGAAGTTACAGGAACGGAATAAACTTAATAAAATGCAATTACAGAAGGACTAGCTATCAGAAGATTTTAAAGATCTCAACAAATTCCTGAAATGTGACAAGAAATTGTTGGCAAATAACAGCACATGCTCCTAACTGTAAAGGTAGCTGAAGCACAGGGGAAAGGTGACCGCCAGTACAGCGACAGGTGGGAGGTCAATTCCTGATCTACAAGGCCATCAAACAACAGCAGAGGGAACCAAGCACCACCTTGATTTTATATCTGGAGGTATTGGTCATTTTTGTACCACATCCCTAAAATCTGGTCCGATTTACCATGTGGGACATTTCTACCATAAACACCGGCTAATGTTTGCAATTCCTTTTGTCTAATAGCAGCAAAATAAACTCCAGTGACTAGAGCATACGCCCCACGGGGACCCAGACTGGGATTCCACACAGATGCTGTAGTCAAAAATAAATTGCATGATGTGAGACCTCAATGCCATCTCCAACAAGAACTACAAAAATGTTTGGCATTCCAATCAAAACCAAGGCCTTCAAATTACTGTTGGTTGCATATAAATGCAGCTTTTTCCTCCTATAGATGAGAGTTAAACAACAGAGAAGTTTTTAACTGACAATGTAGCCCAGTTTTCAATAAAATTCAGAGGCAAATATAATCCACAGATTACAAAATTAAAGCACCGTTACATAAAATTCAGCTAAAATCCCCAAAGAAATGTCAAAAGGGGAAAGGGCTAGCTCAGAATATGCCTGGAAGGACTAGCAACAAGTCTCAAATATTGTATACAGGAATATATTCTCTATGAGTTTGTCCTGAATTGCAAAAACTAATCTCAATGACCAAAATACTAAGTGCAAAACTCACAGTGAAAAGGACTGGAGACAGGACACACTTCAGCTGCTGGCTGACAGCAACAGATCTGGTAAGCTTACTCCAAAATGTCACCCAGCAAAGCCATGCTACCTACAACAAACTTGACTTCATAGTAAAAATGAAGCCTGCTGGGTAGGATGATCACCAGAGGTGAGGGTGTCCTGCAAGCCACACAAGGCCCATGACATCATTTGCTCTGGCCCTGCATAGACAACTGCAGGCAGGATTTGAAATCAATAAATCTCTATCAGGCTATAATTCTGAATGGCCTACAAATTGTTATCAATATTCAAATGGCCTTGGCAGAAGCTGCCCATCACTGAATTACCCCATTCACATTCACTTCTTGATGGGAACGTCCTGCAAAGAAACTGATCCAGGAAAATTTAATTTATTTAAATATGACTAATATTAAGAGAACTGACACAGCATCAATATACAATTATTGCATTTCATATGCCAAATGAAAACTGAAAATACAAGGTGAACAGGCAATGTAGACTTGAAAGAAAACCACTGCAACAGCAAAGATGAAAGTTACCACCAAACATCTTATCATGAATTTTTAAAAATGAATAAAACTCTTATTGCTCAAAAAAACAAACAAACAAAAAACTACAGGATCCGGCACTGTAGCCTAGCTGCTAACCTCATCTTGTACACTCTGAATTTCATATGGGTGCCAGGTCTAATCCCGGTAGCCCTGCTTCCCATCCAGCTCCCTGCCTGTGGCCTAGCAAAGCAGTTGAGGACGGCCCAAAGCCTTGGGAACCTGCACCCATACAGGAGACCCAAAAGAGGATCCTGGCTCCTGGCTTCGGACTGGCACAGCTCCAGTCATTGCAGCTGTTTAGAGAGTGAATCATTGGATGGAGGATCTTCCTCTCTGTCTCTCCTCCTCTCTGTATACCTGACTTTCCAATAAAAATCACTAAATCTTAAAAAAAAAAAAAACAAACCTACAAAGCAGACATGTGAAAGCACAGAAAAAAAGGTGGCAAAGAAAATAAGATTAAAAGGACCATAAAAACATACCAGAAAAAAGCTACAGGGGGTGGAGAAGGGACATTTCACAGAAATAAAGGCACAGGGAAAAAAAATACAAAAATTTTAAGGCAATTAGAAACACAGAGCATAACAAAATAAAATGCAACTAAAGATAAAGAGACTTAATGCATCAGCAAAACAATAATGTAGCAGTCCTCCAAAAAGTTCCCTAGGCTAGCAGAAACACGTTCAGAAGTGTGAAACTATTGAATTTAGAGGTTACCCAAACCTACCAAAGTCAGAAAATCTATTTTAACATGCCCCAAGTTCAGAAGCTACAATTTATAAAGATTCAACATAGAATCTGAGCACAGTCTCAATATTCAAAGAAAACCAAACAATACAAATTGCAAAGACTTAAAAGATGCAAGTCAAGAAAACCAAAGAACTGATTCTACAGAGTCCAAGTCCCGAGGAAGCTAGGACAGAGGCCCAGAGAGAGCTAGTGAATCAGTGAACTTCAGTGAAGAAATAATCTACTTCAAAGTTACACCTCCACAGGCTCTGAGATTTCCCTCACCCCCTCCCCAAATAATAATAAATAATAGCAAAAAGGGAAATAAAAATTTTTTTAAAAAGATATAAATCTTAACCCCCCCAAATTCACCTATTCAATTAAAAAAATAAATAAGTCCTTAAAAAAAGAAGTAAACAAATAGTGAAAATAGGAAAAACTAAACACCAGATAGTATCCTGTTGAAAGGCACAGAAAGAATAGAGAAGTCAGGATGGATGTTCCATCTGTTGGTTCATCCAACCCTCTGGGCTACAAATGTGCGAAACCACAAGTACATATTCACCTTGTGCCATGGCCTTAACCAGTTTATACTTAACTTCTCTGGAACATTTCATAAGCAGTTTTGTCTATATTCTTAAACATTCAAAAACTTTTTTTGCATGTAGTGATTTTATTTATTAAGTCGCTTAAGGATATAAATATAGGGCCCAGCGGCATGGCCTAGTAGCTAAAGTCCCCGCCTTGAACACGCCCCGGGATCCCACATGGGCGCTGGTTCTAATCCCGGAAGCTCCACTTCCCGTCCAGCTCCCTGCTTGGGCCTGGGAAAGCAGTTGAGGACGGCCCAAAGCTTTGGGACACTGCACCCGCGTGGGAGACCCGGAAGAAGTTTCTGGATCCTGGCTTCGGATCGGCATAGCATCAGCCGTTGTGCTCACTTGGGGAGTGAATCATTGGATGGAAGATCTTCCTCTCTGTCTCTCCTCCTCTCTGTTTATCTGACTTCCCAATAAATAAATAAATCTTAAAAAAAAAGATATAAATATAAAATCTCTAGCTCACACTCAGCCTATAAGTATTATTAATTTATTAAAAAAAAAAAAAAACGGGTGTGAACAGGTGTGGGCCAGTGGGTTCAGCTGGTACTTGGGATACCCACAATCCCGAGTGCTGGCTCAATTCTAGCCACTATGCTTGCAAACCACCTTTCTGCTAATACACGCCAGTAGGTAGCAGGTGATGATTCAAAGGGTTGGCCCTTGCAACCCATGTGACAGACCTGGACTGGATTCTGCTCTTGGCTTTAGCCTGTACCAGCCTTAGCCACTGCGAGCAGCTGAGAAGTGAGTCAGTGAACAGAGCTCTCTGTACATCTGACAAGCCGTGTCTGTCTCTCTCTGCCTCTCAAATAAATTTTAAAAAACTGTTTAAAAACTAGGAGCTGGGGTTGTGTCTCAGCATATGAAGCTGCCACCTGCAATACCAGCATCCCAAATGAGTGCTGGTTTGAGTCCCACTTGCTCCACTTCCAACTCCAGCTGTTAAGGCACCAGGAAAAGCAGAAAGTGGCTCAACCACATGGAACCCTGCCACCCATGCAGGAGGCCCAAATGGAATTCTTTGCTCTTGGCATCAGCCTGGCCAGCTCCAGCTCTCCTATACAGCTGCAGCTCCTTTTCTATCTCTTGCTCTTTCTCTGTGTTTGAAATTAATAAAACTGTGTAGTTGAAAGAACAGGTGCAGCAGAAATGGTATTAGAAAAGTGGAAGATGAATCAGCAGATGGAAGACCTCTTTTTCTGTAACTGTCTTTCAAATAAAGATAAATCTTTTATTTAAAAAAAAAAGAGGAAATAGGAAAGCAACCTATTTTAAGTTTCCATCACTGAGAGACTCATGAAAAAGGACATGTCATAGAATTTTGCATGTGTGGCCAATTGCTGTATCCAATTCAAGTACTTGCTGGTAGTCAGGACTACCGGGCAGCAAAGTATCACTAATCTTCCCCTCACAAGATAAATTACAATAGGAAGCACTAATTAGAAAACAAAATAAGCAAAAACTTTACCTTTCTTGAAGTATGAATGTCAAAAAATGGCTTATTTCTGACACTGAATGGTTCCTGTGTTTTGTCAATGAGTCCGGTCTTCATTTTTTCATGCCGAGGATTTATAATTTCTCGTTCTATACACTGCAAACGGATATTAAAATCGCAATCTCCAACTGGTTGTGCCTAACCAAAACAGACAAACATTCAGATGTTAACACTGGCAACTATTTTATCATCATAATTATCAAAACTGCCATACTGCGTGTGGCAGCAGTCTATGTAAACAGCATCTCTTCAGGTTGTACAGTATACATTCTGCACAACCATACAGGTCAGTCCAACAGTTAGCCTGACTCATGATAGAAACTGTCTAAACACACATATACACACACACACAAAATTATTTTCAAATTATAATTGCATAAAATTGTATGGAAAAATAGTACAAAACTAATCAAGTAAGTTGATTCAAATGTTACCACATCTGAATTAAGGGATTAATACACTCACATTCAACTGTATTACTTATGAATTTGCAAAAATATTTGTTTAGAAACTACAATGCATATAATTAAATAAACTTCAAGAAAATAACACATAAAAATTAGGATAGACACTCACAGTGGCTTTTGTGGTTTAAAGTGCTAACACTTTACAGGCATCAATACGTAGGAGATATTTACTAGATACATACATCCTTAACTCTGAAAACACACAAAAAAGTTTATATTCAGTATGTCCAAGTTTGCTCTATGACAAAAAAAGACAAAGTTTTCTTCTCTTTTTACCCAATATCTTGTGCACTACTATCTGTAAAACCTATTACGTGTGGGACCAGTGCCAAGGCATAGCACTTGGGAAGCTGCCATCTGCAACGCAAGAACAACAGGTTGTCTCCGGGCTGCTCTGCTTGCCATCCAGATCCCTGCTTATGGCCAGGGAAAGCACTACAGAATGGCCCAAAGCCTTAGGACCCATCATTCACATAGGAGAACCGGAAGAAAGTTCCTGGCTCCTGGCTTCGAATTGGCTCAGCTCCAGCCAGAACAGGGAATAAAACAGAATGGAAGATCTGTCTCTCCTTCTCTCCGTAAACCTGATCTACCTTTGCAATAAAAATAAATAAATCTTAAAAAGAGTCTCTCTCCCTCCCTCTCTCACTCCCTCCGTCTACTTATCCACATCTAGCTGTCTCTAAAGTAAATAATTTTAAGAAAAATACACATATACTTGTGTATAGCTTGAGGGTGAGAAGCTGTTCTAACCATATGGTATGTGGGACGCAGCCATAATAATCACCCAGATTAGTAAGGATCACTTCAATAGCCTAAAAACTACTCAGTATTTTCTGAACTGGAGAACCTTCCTTTACATACATTTTCCATCACCTTTTCAGCCTTGTTTCTCTCCCTCCATCTGTATTAATCACCCGAGAAGTTACTCAACCTAATGTTTACAGCAAGAGAGCAGCATTTGCTCAAGAGGTGAGCAACATTAGCTATGCTTCAAATATCTTCTTCTCAGCTTTGAAAGGATGACAACTTGGATATCCAACAACAAACAAAACAAGACAAAGGCAGAACATGTTCTCTGCACAAAGTTCTACAAATGTCTGTAAAGTACTGTTATTGAGAAATGCTAGCAAACAACTCCACAGTCCAGTGTCATCTTTTGTATGCAACCCATGTCATCAACAAGGCTGAAAACCTAAAGGGTAAAGTTTGTCCACTGGGCCTAGTAGACAAATTCAGATGCCTAGAAAATTAAAATGGAACAAGCTTTTTCTGAGAAAAGAAAAAAGTTGAACAATTGCTAACAGCAGTCTCAATTCATTCCTAGCTGCTTTCCACTCTAAAATATTAAAAACTCACTGCCACAATGAGAACAGAATGAAAGCAAGTTCACCTTGAACTGCACAATGCCTACAGCAAAGGAAGCCTATATAAGACAGGTGTTAAATCATTGAGGATAGATGAGAAAACATACTTAATAACTACTGCCTAACCTGCTCTGGGTTTGCTAAGTTCTACAACACTATGCTGCCACTGGAGTTATCTTTGAAAACAACTGAAAGTATAATTACAACATTACAATAATGAAAGTCCTTCCATAGAGTCCAACTAAAGAACACATTGGAAGTCAGTGCTAGAAACAGAATCAACCCAGCAATTGCAACCACCAGCTGATCGGGGCGATGGACTGTGCCGGGCCTTGTGCTTGCTAGGACACACAAGAATCTGGTTTGGGAATACCTCAAAGTTTCTTTGGGGATCTCCCCAATTGAAATGCCAGACACAGAACCCTAACCAAGAAAAGACAGAAGACAGAACAAGTCAATCAACCACCTCAGCTATTTGTTGGCAGCAAAATACTGGGCAAATGGAGACTCTATGATGGACTATGTCAATCAGTGGATTCTTCATGACCTCATCGTGCTTGGAGTGGCGAGACTGGCAGCCAATCATAACTGGTGAACTATCAAAAACCACTTGAGCAAGTATCTCAGAGCATGCCCCACATCGGGGACTTGGGGTGGGTGGGAAACTAGGTGGAGCTTTTCCCTCAATATCCCCCTTTACTCAGATACATGAAGGAAACAATATGGAAATAATAGTCTTATCCTCTTCCCTATAGCCCTTGAACCTTTTTACCCTAATTAACTATGTAAAGATTGCCCAAAATATAACAAGAAAAATAAATCACAAAAAGAACACTAAAATGCCATCTTCAAGTAATCTGACAGCCTAATCATCAATCATTCCCAAGCCTTGCTGTGCTCCTTTCATCCAAAACTCAGTCCTTCAGAGTTAATTTGTGTCCCTGTCCCTGTCTGCAGTGCCATTCTCCAGTGACTCAAGCACACTCAGTGCTAGAGTTTGAACAGATGTATACCAAGAGGTAGTAAAATCATGAAATCACAAGCACAAAATTTAATGTAAGCTCCTTCTGTTCAAAAAACTCAAGAGCAGGATAAAACTGCAGAGAAAAAACGGAGTTATAATCATTTCTTATTTAAAAAAAAATAATTAGAAGAAGAGAGAGCAAATGACTTAACCAAGGCAGGTATTAAGCCCTTGAGTATTGCCTCTAGTGTTCTCCACACTCTTCAAGTATTAGAAGACTGCCTTCTAAAACACAGGCTGAGAGGCAAGCCCATGCAGAACATAACTTAAAGAAGAACTCGCGAGCAAGAGGCAAAGGAGGCAGCACTTTGCTATTCACAGAGCAGCAAAGCCTCCCCCACCCCTTATGCCTAGTTATAGGCCAAAGATTGTAATTCTGAGAACTGTGATAAGATTAAGCCAACTCTGGAAAGAACTGCTCTCCAGGAATATAGAACAGAACAAAATTTAAATGTCATGTTTTCTAGCCTTGAGATTCAGAATTTCAAATTTAGATATCCACCAACAAAATCAGATACATACATTGAAAACTTCCCCCCTCAAAATAAATCGTCCTTAAGTAACCTGCTTTAATACAATCCTTAATCATAATATAGCAAACTATTAACACAAAATATACATCAAAAATGAGTTTCTTAAAAAATGTTGTCACAAATCTTCAGAATCTTAATACTTCATTATGTTTTTGTTTCTGTGCTTATTTATCTGAGAGAGTAACCGGGGGTTGGGGGGTGAGGGATAAGAAAGAGATTGCTTTCATCTACTGGGTCACTTTCTCAAATGACCACAATAGCCAGGGTTGGTCCACAATAAAGCCAGAAACCTGGAACCCCATCCAGGTCTCCTACATGGGTGGAGCAGTCTAAGTACTTGGGCCATCTTCTGCTGCCATCCTAAGTATATCAGCAGGAAGCAACACCAGAACTGTAATCGGGACTCGCTGGTACTCTGATATGGGATGCTGATGTTGAAGCAATAGCTTAACTCACTGTGCCACAACACCAGCCCCAAAATAAAAAAAAATTTAATTTGAGAACTCTTCTCTGCTTTCAGCTTGGTTTGAAAAATAAATAATTACTGGAGCCAGTATGGTAGTGCAGCTCGATAATCTTCCACCATCCCCCATGCACATGAGTCTGTGCACCCTGGTTTTCCACTTCCGATCCAGTTCTTCCTTGTCACCTGGTAGTAGATGATGGCCAAGACCTTGGGACTTTGGACCCACATGAGAGACCTGGAGGAAGCTCCGAACTCTCAGACTTGGATAAGCTCTGCTTTGGCCACTGGGGCCCTATAGGGAGTGAAACAGAGGATGGAAAACCTTATCTATCACTATTTCTCTTTCTGTGGAGTCTTTCTTTCAAATAACACCAAATAAATTTTCTTTTAAAAAAATAACTATTATCTGATTGGAATAAAGTATGGGCAGAAAATTGATTACAACTATTTAAAGATAACCATCATTGGCCTTGCAGAATGGCTCAGGGGCTAAATCCTCGCCTTGCAAGTGCCAGGATCCCATATAGCCACCAGTTCGTATCCCGGATGCTCCACTTCCCATCCAGCTCTCTACTTGTGGCCTGGAAAAGCAGCAGAGGAAAGTTCAAAGCCTTGGGACACTATATCTAGGAGACCTGAAAAAGGCTTCAGAACAACTCAGCTCTAGCCACTGCAGCCATTTGGGGAGTGAACGAGCACATATAAGATCTTTTTCTCTCCTCCTCTCTGTAAATCTACCTTTCCAGTTAAATAAATCTTTAGAAAAAAATAAACACTATCAGATTTATTGCATTTCCAAAAATCATACTGTACTGTCTAATTCTGACCTTCATACCATAAACTAATCATAAATGGAAAAATGAGTCCTTGGCTAATCTAAAACTACAGGAAATGGACAGAGAATATAATTTATAATGCTTTAATAATTACCTAAACATGAATTATTTAAGATTGTTATTTTCATTGGAAAGGCAGATTTACAGAGAGATGAAGAGACAGAGGAAAAAATCTTCCATTTGCTAGTTTACTCCCTAAGTGGCCAAAATGGCCAGAGCTGAGCCGATCCAAAGCTAGTAGCCAGGAGCCTCTTCTGGGTAGGACCCCAAGGCATTAGAGCATCCTTTGCTGCTTTTCCCAGGCCATAAGCATGGAACTAGATGGGAAGTGGAGTAGCCAGGACATGAACTGGTGACCATAATATGACCCAGCTGCTTGAAGGAGGAGAATCAGCCAATTGCACCACTATGCTGGGCCCCCAAAACAGGAAATTTTGTATTTTGTTTTTGTTACTTCTATTCATAAATAACAACTTCTATCTTGAAATTACACATGCTGTACTTTAAAAAGACTTTTTTTTAACAGAGTACAGAATAACTAAAATCAAGAGACTCACTTTATAAAATGGTTGCCTTACTTATCAGAGTGAAATTGTTTTCTTTATTCACTTGAAGTTAGAGAAACTTAGAGGGTCAGTTCTGTAGGATAAGTCGAGCCACTGCCTGAGACACCTGCATCCAATATGGACATTGGTGTGATTCCCAGGTGCTCCACTTTGAATCCAACTTCCTACTAATGTGCCTGAGAGTTTGGACCCACACACTCACAAGACCTGAATGCAGCGCCTGGATCTTTTTGACCTAGCTCAGCCCTGGCTATTGCTGCTAACTCAGGAGTGATACACTATATGGAACATCCCTCTATATCTCTTTGTTTCTCTAATTTCTGCATTTCAAATAAATAAATACTTCAAAAGAAAATGAAACTTAAAAAGATAATGGAATAGCAAGGATTAGCATAGGTTCCCATATGGATGCTGATTTGAGTCCTGGCTTAAGAATTACTGATTTTTATTGGAAAAGCAGATTTACAGAGAGGCGAGACAGAAAAAGATCTTCCATCTACTGGTTCACCCCCCAAATGGCAACAATGGCCAGGGCTGGGCTGGTCCAGAGCTGGGAGCCAGAAACTTCTTCCAGGTCCCAAGGATTTAGGCATCTCCTCTGCTTTCTCAACCCATAAGTAGGCAGCTGGATTGGAAATAAAGCAATCAGGACATGAAACAATGCGCACATGGGCAGAGGATTAGCTTGTTGAACCACCATGCGAGCCCCATGGCTGCTGTACTTCTGATCCAGCACCCTGTCAGTGTCCCTGAGAAAGCAACTAAAGATGGCCCAAGTATCTGGGTTCCTGTCATCCACATGGGAGATTCAAATGGAGTTCCAGGCCCCTGGCTTCAGCATGAGCCATCCCCGTCCACTGTAGCTGTGTGAGAAGCAAATCTTTAAATAGAACAATGTCTCATTCACTTTCTCTCCCTCATTCTCATTCATTTTTGCTCTTTCAAAAAATAAATAAATCTTAAAAAAATAAGAATGCAAACTATGAATAAGATATAAAAAGATGATGACCAATCAAAAACCTAAAATTTTCACAATTTTCTTCTCAGGCAATAGCAAATACTTTTTGTTTAACATAAATTTATTATTTCACTGATAACTTTTATTTTCTAAATTGTAAGCTTTAACTAGTACTTACATTGAACTTAATGATGTCATATATCAAATATCTAGGAACAGCCTGTCCATTTACTCTGTCAATAATCATCTCCTTGAAAGAGAAAAGAAGACAGGTTTTTTCATTTTTAATAGCAATTTTTGACTGAAATATACCATATACAGAAGCACATAAATCATAAACACATAACATGATACAATATCCCTGTGAACACGTTGCAACCAGCTAAAATCAATAAACTGTCAGCATTTTTAAATCCTTATCATGCAAAAAAAAATCACGATAATAACACCGTATCGTAAACATGTGAATTAGTGTGCTACATGCTGTTTTCTGCTTAAATTACTACAAAACAAACACTTAAGACTCAGTGACTACAAATTGTTAAGTTTTAAACACCAGAATGACTTATTAAAAGAATTTGCTCAATCATTTCTTATTTAAAATTTCATTTTATGCCAATGAATGAAATCATAACATCTAAAATTATAAATGTCCGCCTTATTTATAGATTTGATTCTCATGTGACCTATGTGATCTTGGTTGCCCATCGCATCACTAGAACTTGTTGGAGGGAAAAGGACAAAGATGACAACCAGGTTGATGCAACTCCACCACAGCATTCAAAAGTCAAAATTAATTCTGCATTTCAATGAAGAGACAGGGAGACTAACGGCTGATTATATGCATAATAAAATAGTAAGTAACGGAGTATTTTATAAAATTTAATTCTTGGGCCTAGTATGATAGCCCAATAGCTAAATACTTTTCTTGCATCCAACAGGATCCCATGTTGGTACCAACCAGTTCAAGTCCCGGCTGCTCCGCTTCCCATCCAGATCTCTGCTTGTTGCCTGGGAAAGCAGTCAAAGACCAGCCCAAAGCTTTGGGATCTTGTACCCACATGGGAGACTGGCAGAAGTTCCTGGTTCCTGCTTTTGGATTGGCTCAGCTCCAGCCAATGTGGCCACTTGCGGAGTGAACCAGCAGACAGATTCTTCTCTCTTATCTCTCCTTCTTTCTGTAAATATGACTTTCCAATAAAATAAATAAATAGGGCTCGTCGTGGTAGCCTAGCAGCTAAAGTCCTTGCCTTGCACTCGCCAATATCTTATATGGGTGCTGTTTCTAATCCCGGTAGCCCCACTTCCCATCCAGCTCTTTGCTTGTGGTCTGGGAAAACAGTTGAGGATGTCCCAACGTCTTGACCCTGCACCCATGTGCGAGACCCAGAAGAGGCTCCAGGTTCCTGGCTTCAGACAGGCTCAGCTCCGGCCATTGCGACCACTTGGGTAGAACCTGTATATAACCATTTAAAATTGCAAAGAACTCAGTTTTGACAAAAGATTTTTTGTTTTAAAAAATTGGTATTAATTAATTCATTTGTTGAAAATGTGTTTGTTAAGGTACATTCACTTATGGTTGGCATCTTTAATCTATCACTTGACCTGAAATAAAGCATATTTAAACTGTTCACTGAAACATTTTGATTTAAATGCTTTAAATCAAATGATTTAAATCTTAGGCATTTAATATGCTAATAAGGTGATATTGACTTCAGTTAAATGTTCTTTACAAAAAAATGCTTGGAAATTGACAGATCTAAACAGCAAAAATCACAGATTTTTTTTCCCCAAAAATTACTTGATGAAATAAACAAAAATATGTGTTTTTTTAAAACATAACTTTTAAAGGCCTAGATAAAATGCATTTACAAAAAACAAAAACCAGTAAAAAGGGAAAAATAAAAAATCTGATAACCAGTACCCACATTGTGGGTAAAATTACTTCCTGAGATGGAGCACTCTGAAACGAGTGCTAGTTGAGACTCAATTATTCCACTTCAGATCCAGCTCCCTGCTTCAATAGACTAGGAAAGCATCAAAAACAGTCCAAGTGTTTGGATCCCTTCCTGGGAGACAAGAAGAAGCTCCTGACACACTCTCTCTCTCTACTCTGTGTGTGTGTGTGTGTGTGTGTGTGTGTGTGTGTAGTGTGTATGTGAGAGAGAGTGCTAACTGTGAACTTCAGATAAATTAGTTTTAAAAAAAAAAAACTGACAAGAAACTTCCAAGATTGTGATAAGTAAAAAGATACAGCTAGGTTCAGTTCCCATCCCACTAAACCTTCAGAAACTCCAGTGGGAAGCTGACAAATTCCTGGCAATTTTTGAAATGTAAATAGAAGCAAACTGTGTGGTTACTCTTGTCTTCTTATCTCCCACCTCTTCTAACCGAGGGGTAATAAAACTAACTGAAGACACTTTTTCTCTGAAGTAATGGCTTCAGAGATCCACATTTAAATGGAGAAATCACCTGAGTTTTACTAGAATAGACTATGGTTCCCAACTAAGCAAGAAGATATTTGCTAAACGTTCTTAACAGAGAATAGAATGCATGGATTCTAACAAAGATTCTAACTCCTAAGCAGAGAATTCTAAAACATTGGGATTACCCAAGTGCTTCCACGCGTCTCCATTACCATGTCTCCCTCCCTACAACTTCCACTACTGCCCCAGGCTATGAAAAGTAAATAAACATCAAATATGTAAGCTCCAATCTTAGTTAGGAAACCTGGAATCTTTGTGTACCACTGATGGCACTGTATATGATTTTTTAAAAAATGGAACTAACATATAACCCAGAAATTCTCCCTTCTGTATATATAACCACAAGTACTGAATGAATGCAGAGTCTCAAATAATTATTTGTATACCCATATTTGTAACAACATCATTTTTACTAGCTAAGATACAAAAGCAATGCAACAGTCCCTTGACAAACAAATAGTTAAACAAAATAGGGGTATGTTCATATGGTAGTATATTATGTAGCCTTAGAGGACATTATAGGATGTGAAATAAGCCAGTCACCAGATAAATACCGTATGATTTCACTGACATGAGGTATGTATAGAACAGTTGAAATCAGAGAAACAGAAAGTAGAATGATACTTGCCAAAGTTTAGGCAAAGGGAGAATAAAACGTTGCTTAATGGATACATAATTTCAGTTTTATAAAATGAAAAATTTCAGAGATCCATTGTACAGTAACAGCAATATACCTGACATTATTGAAGTATATACTTAAAATTCCTAAATTGCTAAAATGATACATTTTATGCCATACGGTTTTAACCACAATTTTTTTAAATTTTTATTATTTTTAAAAAGGTGAAGAAATGAAAACAAACTTCATCTTCTAACCAAAATGCTTAACAGGGAATGGACTTACTCATCTGTTGAAAATAACCAAAAGCACGAACAAAATATAAAAGGCAATCATTTCCAAGACCCTGGACACCCAGCAACAAAGCTGAGCAGGCAAACTCAGCACAAACGACAAACAAGGTTAGCTCCAAGTGTTAGAGAAATGAACAGCAGTTTCAGAAACAGAGGGGAAAAAAAATACTGAGGAAGGTCCAATTAAGAGTTAATAGTTTACCTTCAACTATACATAGAGTAACAAAAATAAACTTAGAATTTCAGAGAAAGCGTTAATAGTTTTAATAGCAGATGGATACAGAGAATAACAACATAGCTTGCTGTCCAAATCACAATACCTTTGGGAGTAAAACGGGCTGCTATTACTAACTATACTAAACAAATGGATATCTGCAGTATCCCAGCCAAATTAGGGCATATGGTGCATGCCTAAGTAGAAGAAATAGTTGTTTCTACTTGAAGAACAAGAGAAAACTTGCTCATCTTGTACATAACATGAGATGGATTCTGAAAGACAGGGGACATACTCCAGGAGGACAATGGAAGGATTAAACTGTGTAAAAAAAAGGCATGAAAAAGACTGCTTGGAACGCCAGGAGAGAGGCACTACATGTTAATCTAAGACCTGCAAAACTGATTTTCTACAACAGTACACTGGTTCAAGTCACAGCTGTTCTTCAGACACAATTCCCTACTAATTTGTCTAGGAACACAGTAGATAATGGCCTGAATATTTGGGCCTATTCCAAAAACTCCAGGTGGGAGACCTGGATGGAGCTCTGTGCTCCTGGTTTGAAGAGTGGCCCCGCATTGGCCACTGCATCATTTGAGGAGCCAACCAGAGGATGTAAGCTATCTCTTGATGTCCCTCAATACGATGAAATCAATCTCCCTCTTTCCAATGCTCAGCACCTGTATAAACTCAAGAGTCAGGGACCACACTAAAACATGAAGCTGAAGACACACACATGCCTTATATAAAAGGGCTTTAATCAGTGGGTATCAACTGTTTATGATCACTAACTATTGTCTGGAAAGTGTGAACTAGCAAAACTCATTTGTGTTACCCATTCCTCAAAATCACTCATATAAAGCTTTGGTTCTAACTAACATAGTCTACGCAGGTGATAAAATATTCTATTTTAGGTAACAGAAATGCTTACACAACCTTGTGAACATACTAAAACCACAGAGTTAAAACACATTTAAATGGTGAATCTCATGGTAGAGTAAATTTTAGCTCAATTTTTAAAAATAAAATTTAAAAAAAAAGAATCTTTAAAAAAGCAGTTCTTTAGACTCAAGAAAAATGATAGAACCTAATACATAATATACATTAATGGTCAATTACATATCAATTATACCTGCTATATAATATAGGTATAATTAAATGACTAAAAATACAGCAAAACATTAAAATTAATATCTTCTTGACAGTTTACTAAATAATTTACAAATTTTTCTAAAATTTCAACAATGATCACGTATATGCTTCTATTACAAAAAATCAGTTGAAGAGGGCACATGCAATTTTTTCAAGATTCTTGCTAATAACCTTAATGATTAACTACTAGATCTTTTCTCTTAGCCTGAACATTAGGCTGAAAAAACTGCACTAACTTGTATCAAGTGTATTAATGCCATATTTCTAAACACCTATTTCCCACACTTTGTGTATCAAGGAAGATTAGTCAGCAATGCAAAACAAAAGTACCAATGCTCAATCCTGACAGCCAGAAAATTAGGTGGTTTCAGTTATTCTTGGATTTGGAATTTTACAAAAACAATTTTCAAATGAAAATGTGGAAGAAACAGGAAACTACAGAGGGCTGTTTTAATTAACTAACTGGAAAAACAGATATTGCAACTATAATTCTGGCCCAAGTAAATTGACATCATGAATCACACTGCTATTTTAAAAACTCATAAGAATCTAGTATGCTGCTCTTGGTTATCCAAATTTGGGGTGAAACTGCAGAGTACTGCTAAGTTAAATCTGCAAATGACTATCTAATTGCTTAAGTGCTGTTTCCTACCTAGAATGCCCTTTGCCCATGTCTCACAAAAACTATTTTTGTGTGGAAATTGTCCCTTGCCAATAACAACTGCTACATAAAACATTCTTAATTTCTGACTAGCTAGATGTGCTTTTATTTCCCTCCAAACTAACGTAAGACTTGTGTTAAATTGAACTCTTTGGGTTATTGTTTTATTGGAAGATATACGTGGTATCTCAGTAACAACTGTTGACCAGTGATAAAACAGAAAGTAGGGCTCTTAACTACTGCTATACTGTTCTGTAAGATCCAAAAATCACTGGAGCTGCCATCATGGTTCAACTGGCTAATCCTCCCCCTTACGTGCCAACATTTCACATGTGCTGGTTCATATCCCAGCTGTTCCACTTAAGATGCATCTTCCTGTATATGGTCTAGAAAAGCAGTGGAGGATCAAAGCATTGGGACCCTGTACCCACATGGGAGACCCAGAAGAGGATCTTGGCTCCTAGCTTCAGATCAGCTCAGCTCCAACCATTGCCACTATTGCAGTATGAACCAGCAGATGGAAGATCTTTCTCTCTCTGTGTCTCCCCTTCTCTTTGCAAACATACCATTATTTAAAAACAAACAAACAAAAAAGGTCATTCTTTCACCAAATTAGAAAATATTAAATCAACAACTGATTCAGATCAGGTGCAGATCCTCTATACATGGCATAACTGTACATTTCCTTAATTTTACACATGCCTATTTCCATAGCTTCCTGGAAACAAGGATGGCATTTATACCAGGGTCTTCAAAATGTTCATGAAGGGGCCCAGCACAGTAGCCTAGCAGCTGGGGTCCTCACCTTGCATGCACCTGGATCCCATATGGGCGCCATTTCTAATCCCGGGAGCCCCACTTCCCATCCAGCTCCCTGCTTGTGACCTAGCAAAGCAGTCAAGAACGGCCCAAAGCTTTGGGACCCTGCACCTGTGGTGGGAGACCCAGAAGAGGCTCCTGGAGCCTGGCTTCAGATCAGCTCAGCTCTGGCCTTTGCAACCGCTTGGGGACCAAATCAGCAGATGGAAGATCTTTTTCTCTGTTTCTCCTTTTCTTTGTATATCTGATTTTCTAATAAAAATAAAGATTTTTTCATGTGCATGGAAAACATGACAGAAAAACTACACATGCATTTCTTTAAAAAAAAAAAAACACCTTTCTGCACAAAAACAAACTTGTGCTAATATACTGTAACATGTCTGAAGAGGATCAGTTTCAGGAAATAAGAGAAATAAGACATCCGTTTGAAAGGCTCCTATCAAAACAGCACAAAAATCAAGAGGGAATAGTGGGAGTTAGGCAGCAGGGGCCTGTTAATGTGGCTTCATGCAGTGATCTGCTGTCAGAGACACCCAACAAGGCCAGTCCACCCTCCAACAGCCCCTGCCTGTGATGTGGGAAGCCAGGGAGTCAGAGACACAGCTGCCCAGAGAGTCACGTCAGCTCAGCCAGGAATCGGGCCACTGAAGGACTGAAGGACTGTCAGAACTTCTGTAGGACTCAAGTTAAAAAGGCCCTCCAAACTAGCTTCCAAGTTAACCACTGCTAATATAGGGGATGGTCTAGGGTCAGTGACACAGCAGGCATTACTGTGGACCAACCACCTATTCAAACCAGCTTTCCTCCTAATCCAGCCAGGTAACGGAAGTCAATGGGATTTTCCCCCTAAAAAGGTTCCCATCTTCTCTTCCCAGATTAAGGGATCAGATCCTGAAGGAAATGACTAATCAATCCCTCTTAGAATATCTTCAGTCTCTCCAACAGATCCAGGGCGCATTACACTCCTGCGTCCGAGAGACACTGCCCATCTTGTCCACCTCACTGTGCCATCACTTGCAAACTAGGGACCTGTTTTATACCAAAAAACTGGCTAATGTTTTCACAGAAAAACACCTGCAAAAGTTCTGCAAGACAATGCTTATCGCAATCCTACTCCTTTCCTCTCAACAAATAAAGATCACTTTCTCCGGGTTCCGAAGACATCATCAGGCTGACACCATTGTTCTTCTCTGTTTAATGTTTTCTCTAGCCATTTTTCCTTAGTTAATACACAAAACGATTCCACTAACCTGATTCAATTTCTTTGAGAACACACTAAATGCCTGATGTCATTGCTTATAAGAGTGGAAAAGTTCATATTTTTAACAGATATTTTCAACCCTATAATTTTCACAATCAGGATAGCTTGGAAAGCTGAAATAATGGGTCTTTATACATTAAGACATTTATACAGAAATTATGCCCCCACAAATACTTAGCACAAAAAAAATGCAAAATACATGTAACATTTGGTTCTACTCAAGCAAAATTATCTAACTATCTCTGTGCATACATATTTGACCAGAGCCCTCATCTTCAATGAGATAAGAGGTGCCATGACTAGAAGTTCGCTGAAATGAGGTCCCAAGCTTTCAAGAGATTCTGATACATTCTGACCCCCTAAGAATCTATACTCTTAGTTCCTATTACTGATATGAATGTGTTATATTCCACAGGGACAGAGGTATGACTGAATGCCCTAGGACAAAGGAAAAAGTCTGGAATGAGGATCACTCAAATAAATGGTTGCAGTGATTGCTTCAACATTAAGAGATCATACAATTTAAAAAAAAAAAAAGAAGAAAGTTCAGATTATTTTTATCAGTTTGTTAGTAATCTGCATCATTGTTATTTGAATGAGCCAATACCTTTGGAATTAAGGAAAGAGCAAATATTTGCATGATAGGAAATCAAAAATTTTTAATCAAGTAGTTTTGTGATTAATAAACACATATCTTCTCAAGCCAGGATTGTGGTACAGTGAGATAAGCTGCCACTCTCATTACTACTGTCCCACATCTGAAGGCAGGTTCAAGTCATGGCTACTCCGCTTCTGATTCAGGGCCCTATGGATGCACCTGAGAAGGCGGTGAAAAATGGTCCAAATACTTGAGCCCATACCCGCTCCCTTTGGGAGACTAGGATGCAGCTCCAGGATTCCAGCTTTGGCCTGTCCCCACTGTGTTGCTACAGCCATTTGGGGAATGAAACAGCAGATGGAATTTGGCTCTCTAGCTTGCCCTCCCCACTTCCCACTCTACCTCTCTCCCTCCATTTTCCTACCTTTTCACCCTACCTTTCAAATAAATAAAATACTGACTCTTTAAATAAATACATATTTTCTGAAATGAGAAATTTTATCAGCTTTAAAAATTCAATTGTAAAAGTACTGGTTACTTTCAAAACAAGATTCTCTCTTACAACAAAGATTATCAAATTCTTATCACTAAAAATCAATGGAACAATATGGCATGTCATGGTTCACGATTAAAATCAACTAAAGTGAAATAATAAAATGTCTTTTTCAACAAAATTGCTTTTTCAGCCACAAAGAAAACAAATCCAGATTTAATTTTTGCCCTTTATTCTCATACCAAGTATACAGAATTAATTTAATTCATTTTAACAAATTTCTCCACTGAAGAAGAAAAGCTCAAAAATCTATTTAGGTTCAAAACTTAAGTTGGCTTTTTCCATTTTAAAAAGAACAACTTCAATGAAACTTGGCATCGAAATAAAAGCTAGATTTAATTATAAACTGTTATTAAATGCACATTTACTTAAAAGGAAAAATTACACCATTTAATTTTTTTAATATATATGTATACACAGATAAAATAAATATGACTTACCCCATCCAAAAGAGTATTTGATAAATGTATTCGAAGATCTTTCCGAAATGGAAATTCCAGATTTGAAACATGAAACACTGAATTATCTCTATCAATCATAAAAACTTCATTTGTGCCATCAATCAACATCATGTAACTGCAAATTAAGCATGAAAAATGAAAAAATGAATAGTAAAATATCAAGAATAAAAGGAGTGAGTATTTAGCCTAGTAATTAAGATGTCAACATTTTATAATGGAGTACCTGGGTTCAATTCCCACCTCTGGTTGCTGGCTCCTCCTTTCCCTTCACTGTAGATACTAGGAGGTAGCAATGATGGCTCAAAGTAGTTAGATTCTTGCTACTCACTTAAGAGTACTAGAGTGAGATTCCACCTCCCGGCTCTAGTCCTGCTTGAGTCCTGGCCATTGCAGGCATTTGGGGAATGGATCAGCAAGTTGGAGTTCTCTGTCCATATCTCAATATCTCTATCTCTGTAACCCTCTCTCCTTACTCTCTGTCCTGTCTCTCAAATAAAACATTTATTTTCAAATATTTATTTTTATTTGAAATGCAGGTTTACAGAGAGAAAAAGAGAAAAGAGAAAGAGAGGGATCTATATGCTGGTTCACTCCACAAATGATCAAAACAGTTGCAACTCGGCACATCTGAAGCTAGGGACAAGGAGCCAGGGGTTTCTTTCCAGTCTTCCATGTGGGAACAAAGGCTCAGGGACTTGGACCATCCTCTACTGCTTTCCCATGCTATAAGCTGGGAGCTGGATCAGAAGTGGAGCAGCCAGGACGTTAAGCAGCGCCCACATAGGATACTGCCACCACAGGCTAAAGAGTAGACTGATACATAGCAACATGCTGGCCCAAAAAATTATTTTCTAAAGATTACAACAATAACAAAAATAAACTGGTTTCTCTTAGACTTAAAATATCTTTGTAGGCTGACATTTACTAGAGTCCATCTCTCTACCAGACAAATTAAAATAACACAAACAGAGGTATGCACTTGGTCAACAGGTAAAGTAACAACTGGGATCCCATAGCAGAGTGCCTGGGTTAGCTCCATTCTCAACTGCAGCCTCGTGCAGTGCGGACAACAAGGGATGGTCAGGTAGTGGATCATAAAGATCCAGACAGAGTTCCTCAGCTCCTATCTTTAGCTCCACCCACAGTGGAGTGACTGTGGGCACTTGAGGAATGAATACATACACAGGAGCGCACTTACAGAATTCTTTCTCTGCCTCTCAAAACACCAAAACAAATAATTTTTAATAAAAATACCACAAATGACAATGTTTTCATTTCCTATATTAAGCAACATATATATAGAAATCTAATTTTTATGAGGATAATCTGTACCCAATAACCTTCTGACTCATCTTTAAAATTTTTTCTTTCATTTTTAGTTAGCATCAAAATGTTTCAATGTTTACACACAACTACTTGTTACTGGCCTAGCAACTATATGAATTATGTATTACTTTCTCCACTTGAGAAAGAAAAACACTGAGTAATGTACACTTTAAGCTGTTCAATGCTCTTCCTACCACACCAGTTAATGAATGAGTAATCCCTCTCCAAATCAATATTATATACAGCCAGGATATCACAATCTCAGACACAATTTTTCTTCTGGCTCATGTCCATTCAATTAAAATGTTTTTAAACATAGTCCATAAGAACATTTAGTAACCCTGGTCTTTTTTTTTTTAACCCTGAACTTCTTACATACCACTAACATAAAAGAATTTGTCATTCTTCTAACAATCAAGTTACCATCTCTGACTTCCCAGAAGCAGATTATCAAAAATGGACTTTTATTTCACTCTATAATAAAGTCAAGTTCAGGTAGATCCAAATTGAGGGAATTTTACAGACAAGGCACTGTGGTGAATAAGACATTATCATGCTCCAAAGACTTCAAAGAGTAAGCAAAATTGACAGCAAAAAGAATTAGAACCAAAAATATGAGCCTCAAAGCAACAATCATTTTGTTAAACTTTTTTGATTGATGCTGAATGTGAAAAGAACTGAAATCGGAGGAGCATGTTGCTGAGGGGGACTATCCAAACTCTGACCCATATGTGTGTGTGTTTACATACATACAAATGTGTGTGCAGACATAATTCTTTCATTAAAAAAAAAAACAACAACCAGCAAAAGATGAAGCAAAATCAAAAATCACAGGTAGAAAAAAACGTTAAATGAAGAAATGCGAGACAGCAAGGTATATGGAGATAAGTAGAACAAAGGACAATCGATTTATTGTAAAAAAGTGTCCCAAAGAGCAAATTATGTATCTTTAGATAGGTAAGAAGAGACAAGAGAGCTGAGGAAGGTTAAAAAAAGGGAAAGTGTACAAACAAAGGAAGAACAGCAAGGAAGACCAAAGAGGCTTATATTCGAGGACTAGACTGTGAAGTGGGCTATTTGTTTCAATAATAATTATTCTAGCACATCTCTGGAAAGGGAACTGACAGCTCAGGCTGTGAACACATACTGAAATAGATACAGTCCTAGTAGATGGGAAGTAGAGACTCAAGTCCTAACAAGAAAAGTAAACTCAGCCTCAGTCTACACTGAGTATACACTGAGGGACTCCTGGGCCAAATGCCAGCACAACAGGCTTGCTCACTGGCAATAGGAGTACCTAGTTCCAAAGACCTCTCGCACACAGTTCAAAGCAGTCATGCATTCCTCATGGGTAGAGAATCTTGGTGTCACAGAAGCAAGCACTGCCCTGAATTGTGTTTCAACAGGAATCTAAATCAACATGAGGAAAGGTTTAAAAAGGTGGAGGGAGGGAGAAAGTATTTATAACATTGTCTATAAAATGAACATTCACCAACCCTAATGTTGTTATGGGATCGACACCAGCATTTTGTGAAGCTCAATGCTCACTAAAAAGGTTCATGGCAAAATAAGCTAGAAGAATGTTGTATCTTTCCTCTCACAAAGATACATTTTAAGATATGTGAAGTCGTGAGTACATAAACTAAGGAGTTTATTTCTTATTTTAGTCCATTGTTTTCTAAACCTAAATCTCATTTTTTCTTAAAGATTTATTGCATTTGAAAATCGGGAGTTATGTATAGAAAAAGAGAGAGACTCCCCACATGGCCACAATGGTCAGGGCTGGACAAGGTCTAAGCCAGAAGTCAGGAGCTTCACCCAAGTCTCCCACATGAGTGTAGGGTCCCAAGGACTTGAGCACCTTCTGCTGCTTTACCAGGAACATTAGCAGAGAGCTAGATAGGAAGTGGGCCAGGCAGGACTTACACCAGCACCCATATGGATGCCAACATGAGTAGCAACAGCCATAGCATCAGCCCCATACACTTAATCTCGATAACTGTTAGTATTTACATGATTAATACTCAATATTCATAATTTGAGAAAAGCTAATTTATACTAATAAATTCAGAAAAAAGAAATGGCTTGCCTCTTCTAAACTAATGATGATGACAGAAACTGTATTTCCCATTTCATTATCCACTCCAAAGCTCAAATTAAATTTTATGTTTGAATAGAATGTTAAATTCCATTGCACTGATACACATGTACTTATGTATTTAAGATGGTATGTTTTGTAAATGTGTGTTTGTGCATGTGTCTAACTATTGGACCTTCCCTTTTAAGTCAAACAGGCTATCAAATTAAAGAAAATATTATCTCCCACTAGACTGTATCTCCTGTTGATGAGTGTGAAAGCCAGGACTGGAATGGGCTAGGCCAGAAAGCCTGTGTGTGAGCTGGATCTGGGGACAAGCCAGTTTTGGCTTGGTCCTACCACCTGCTAGCATATGTGCAAGAGTTCAGACAAGGTGCAGGTAAGCTAGGATAGGCCACAGCACCTGCTGGTTCACATGAGAGCCAGAACTGAGGGTAAGTCAGGCTGGGGTCGTAGGCCATAGCACCTGTAAGAATACCCAAAAAACTGGGGCAGAGGGCGGGTTTGGTAAGCTTTATTGGGGTTTGTCCCACCTGGGCCATAATACCCACTGATATGCATGAGAGCCAAGCTTGGGACAGGTTAGGTTGGACTAGGCTAAAGTACCTGCCGATTCACATGAGAGACAGAGTTGCAGGTACAACTGACCAGATAGCTGCATCCACTGGTACATAAGTTGGCTGGTGTGGGAGACAGATTCAACCTGACCCTGCACTAACTCGCACACACAACAGTCAAGTCTGAAGACACTCCAGGCAAGGTTTCTTGGGGGACTCCACACCTACATCACTGAACTCAAACCCAGTCATCAGGGAAAAACACAAAATAATGTGATCTGACCTTAGAATTCATGTATCAGGATCAGTACCTGCTCAGCATCCCAGCTGCACTGGGGGCCATGACAACCAGCTCATCTAGACCAGTAGAGGATGTGGAGTACCTTACCAGAAGATGGAGAGCAGAATAGGTTGGACAACTCTCCTGGCCAAGCTTTGCAGCAAGCATCTGTGTCTGTGGATGTACTAAGGAGGACCTAGTGAGCCAGTAGAACCTGGAAAGACTTTTTCAGCCCTGTTGCAGCAAGACTGACAACATCTCAGAGCTATCGGGGCTGCTCAAATAGCACTCCTGGAACATTCTTCCATATCAGGGTCTCTTAAGACATCAACAAATGACCACCTCTCATCCCTGGGTATGGTCTGACAGCAAGGAGCAGCCCTCTCCCCTTCCCCCGCTGTGGACACTGGATTAAAAAAAAGAAGAAGAACTGGAACATTTATCTCACTCAACTTCTCTATACCTCAACCTACCCTAATCCCTCTTAACTATGTAATCAACATTAAAAATTTGAAAGGAAAGAAAGAAGGAAGGAAGAAAAGATGGAAGGGAAAGAGGAAATGATATCTACATGCACAAGAGTAAGAATAGAATTGAAAGACCAAAGAAGAGATTGTAAAGGTTACAATTTACCACAAAGTTTTGTTCTTGGGTTTTGGTTTGTATTTGCAAAGATATCAGAGAAATTATTTGCTAGTTCATATTTAGGGGTTCTTCTATACATAAAAATTCTCAGGCTTTGGTACACGAGTGTCCAGGCTAAGATTTCTGGCTTGAACTCTTATCATTCCAAATCATAAGTTCTTTTGTTGTGAAACACTTACAAAAAGTGATACTATTTCATTTTAAAGAAA